AGGATGGCTATATATCCCCCAGGATGGCTATATATCCCCCAGGATGGTTATATATCCCACAGGATGGTTATACATCCCTCAGGAAGGTTCTATCTCCCTCAGGATGGCTATATCTCCCTCAGGATGGTTGTATATCCTTCAGGATGGTTATACATCCCTCAGGATGGTTGTATATCCCACAGGATGCCTATACATCCCTCAGGATGGTTGTATATCCTTCAGGATGGTTATACATCCCCCAGGATGGTTGTATATCCCACAGGATGGTTATACATCCCTCAGGATGGTTGTATATCCTTCAGGATGGTTATCTCTCCTTTGGGATGGTTATATGTCCCTTGAGATGGTTATATATCCCTCAGGATGGCTGTATATCCCTCGGGATGGTTATATCTTCTTCAGGATGGTTATATCTCCCTTGGGATGGTTATATATCCCTCAGAATGGTTATATGTCCCACAGGATGGTTTTATATCCCTCAGGTTGCCCAGAGAGGGACACCCCACCCCTGGAAGTGTCCAAGGCCAGGTTGGAGCAACCTGGGCTAGTGGAAGGTGTCCCTGCCCATGGCAAGGGACACTGGATATTCCTTAAGGTCCCTTCCAGCCCAAACCATTCTGGAATTCCCTGATACTCCACCTCTCTTGGAGATCAGGAAATCTTCACCTTTCCTTTTTCCCTGTGCCGAGTTTTGGTGTCATTGCAAGTTTAGCTGTTGGTGGGGAGAGCAGAAGGAATTGGCTTTGCTCAAACTGGCCCAGGAATCAAAACTTTGCTCCTCCTGAAAAACATGGGCTTAAAAAAAACAAACAACCCCTGCCCCACTTCACCAAATCGGGGCAAAACATTTGCCATGGAAACTTGAGCGGAAGCACTTCCCATAAAACCTCCAAAATCAAAGCTGCCAAAGGCTCCTTGAACTTCCCATGGCTTCCAGGAGGGGAGCAGCCACTTCAGCTTTCCTAGTGGAAAATTGGTGGGACTTAGAAGCTTCCCCTGGAAACACTTTATTTTTTTTTGCCAGAAATGGGTGTTTTTCCAACCAGGAAACCGTTCCAGTGGAAAAAAAAGTGTTACAGCTCCACAAGTGACCGCGTTTTCTGGCTGGTTTGGGTTCTTGTAAAACCTCAGGGCCTAAACCAGGGGCTAAATCCACCCAGGAGAAATCTAAATTATCCTGTGTCTTCTCTGCATCTTGGTGCTCCTTCCCTAAAAATTGTACTCCTGAAAGCAGGATTTGGGAGGCAGTGGGATGAGTTGTTTAGGGAAGCTTTAGGAGCAGCTCATTAAAGCCCTGTGGGCTGCACAGCAAGGGATAAAGTGAATTCCAAGTTTAGGCTCTGCATTTTGGTGCTCCTTCCCTAAAAATTGTGCTCCTGAAAGCAGGGTGGGATTTGGGAGGCAGTGGGATGAGTTGTTTAAGGAATGTTTGGGAGCAGCTCATTAAAGGCCTTTTAACAGCACAGCAAGGGATAAAGTGAATTCCAAGTTTAGGGTGGATATTAGGAAGGGTTTTTCCCCCAGAGGGTGGAACAGGCTCCTGAGGGAAGTGAGCATGGAACAAATCCTGCCAGAGCTCCAGGACAACGTTCTCAGGGACAGGGTGGGATTGTTGGGGTGTCCTGGGTGATCCCGGGGGTCCCTTCCAGCTCAGGATATTCCACCATCCTGTTTTCCCTTAATCACTTTTCAAAGGGTGACACAATTGGCTCCAATCCCCTCAAAAATCCTAGGATTGGGAGCAGCATGAGTTTGACCCCTGTGGCAATTCCTGGTGTCCATTCTTAGCCCAGGATCCTGCTTTTTGCTCCTTTTCCTGGGAAAACTAACGCAGTAGTTGTTCCAAACCTCCTGACCACCCAGGCCTTCTCCTTCCTCTTGAGATGTTGGGCTTTCAAAAGAGATCCCGGGAATCTTCATCCCATAAATAATCCAAGCCAGTGGTTTTTTTCGGGATGAACTTGAGCAGGTGGGAAGTTCATGTCATGGATTCACTCCCTCTGCTTCCAACTGCAGGGGTCTGGGATCCTGCTCCTGGAAGACGACTCCGTCTACGAAGGGAACTTCACGGAGGATCTGACCTTTGTTGGGAAGGTGAGAACTTCCTTGATTCCCACATGGATTCATCTTCTACAGTTTCTTTAATTCCCACATGGATTCATCTCCAAAGTTTGCTCCACTTCCCCCAGACTCCTGGAAAAATCATGTTTTCCTGGTTTTTGGATTATTTTTGTCCTTCCTTAGTCTCAGCCGTGGAAGAAAAGCTTCGGCTGAGAGACTCTGGGGGGGCTTTGGGAAGAGTTTTGGGGTTTCATGTTTGATTTACTTTCAGGCTCTTGAGGTTTTGGGGTTTTTTGGGGGGGGTTGGTTGGTTGGTTCTTCTTGTTTGGTTGGTTTTTTGGTGGTTTTTGGTTGGGGTTTTCTGGTTTGGTTTTTTGTTTGGGATTTTTTGGTTTGATTTTTTTTTTTGGTTTGGGGTTTTTTTGCTTTTTTTTGGTATGTTTGGCATTTTTTTGGCTTTGGGGTTTTTTTGTTTGTGTTTTATTTGTGAGGGGTTTTTTGTGGTTTTGGGGGATTTTTTTGTTGGTTTTTTGTTTGGTGTTTTTGTTTTGGTTTTGTTTTTTTTATTTAGGTTATTGCTTGTTTTTTTGTTTGGTTGGGTTTTTTTTTGGTTTTTTTTTTTGGTTTTGTTTGTTATTTGCTTGTTTTTTGTGTGTGGTTTTGTGGTTTTTTGTTTTTGTTCAGTTTTTGTTTTGCTTTGGGTTTTTTTTATGTTTGGGGGTTTTGTTTAGTTTTGTTTGTTTCTTTTGTTGTTTGGGTTTTTTGTTTGTTTTTCATTTGGGGTTTTTGTTTATGTTTTTGGGTTTTTTTGTTTGTTTTTGTTTGGTTTTTGTTCAATTTTTTGTTTGGTTCTTTTATTTAGTTTTTGCTTCTTTTTTTGTTTG